AAAAAAAAAAAGTAAAAATGAGAAAAAAAGGAAATAAAACAAGCATATGTAAATGGTTGGACTGCTTTGTTAATAGTTTGTAACAGCTGCCTGTGGATTACCTGCACTGTATAACTCAGGCCTGGAATATTATTAGTGAAAGGATATTTTTCAGATTGATTTCGCTAAGCTTGTCACAAGGGTAATCACCCTGCTATCCAAAGACCATGTTCTCTAAATACTATTTTGGAAGAAAAGAGAAACTATGCTTCTTCCTCTCCTGTGGAATTCCTGCACTGAATTTAAATTAATCCTCCAAAGAAAGAAGATCTCTAATATGCTGTTAGTATTGTTACGATTATCTCTTAACATTCAGAAGACCTCCTTATTGTAAAATGAGCTGTAACCAAGTTTGCCAGCATGTGGTAATAGCAACTGTATTTCCCTGTAGCTGATGCACTACAAGTACCTCTGGCCTAGCACTCTAAAAATCTAGTAGAGTGTTAAGAGAGTGGAGATCTCTGGGTCAGTGTACAGCAGCCAAGTGAAACTTGCATCAGCCATGGTAGGCTCAGGACCACAGTATCAGCTATCTGTCGAAGATGTAGGACAAATCTGGAACCTTCAGACAACTAATTTCTCCAGCTAGTTCCCAAGAGATTTGGTTCAGTCTTGTGTACTCTTCTGTATTCTCTTGGCACTTCCCAAAGAGGTTGTGAGTCATTGATCAGAACTAGTATTTAGTCCCCTGGACTGGAAGTAGAATAATTATTTTGGCTATGGATGAGTATTCTCCTTCATTAAGGGCCAAACTGTTGACCCCATTAACCTAAGTAGTATATTTACCCAGACATGGATCACTGCTAGAGATGTATTAATTATGATTGAACCTTGAAATAGGAAGGAATGGTACAGTGTAATTACATCAAATAGAGAAGAATTCGAAAGAACCAATATAACTTATTCTGATTTAAAGTTCCTAAAATGTCAATGCCTGGGATATTTGACCCTTTATTTAAATAGTCTAAAATAAAGCTGCTTATCTCAACCTTGACAATATGTAGTAATATTATACAATATACCTACTTTTCTTTGTATATGAGAGAGAATAATACTGCTTGAGGTAGAATTAAATTTGAATTGTGAGCATCAAGAAGAAAAGATGGAGTAGTGGCCTGCACTGGCCACTAGGTGACTGTGTTAGACCAAACAACTTAGTTGTCAGCTAAAGGAAAGATTTGAGGGAACAGCAGCCTCGTTAACTCTGAAGGTCTTAGGGAAAATGTGAGATTGCACTGAGTCATGTGTATAAGATGCTTGTGAATTATGGGTTTATTTTTTGGAAAATGCCTGTGAAGTGTATTACAGCTAGTATTAATGAATTTTTTTAAGTTCCAAAATTTAACTATACCAGGGTTTCTCAACCTCAGTTCTGTTGACATTCTGGGCCAGGTAATGCTTTGTTGTGGGGGCTGCCCTGTGCAATGTAGGATGTTTAGTGGCATCCCTGGCTTCAACCCACTAGATTCTAGTAGCTCACCTCTGCCAGTTGTGATAACCAAAAATGTCTCCAGACATTGTCAAATGTTTCCCTAGGGGCCAAAATGGCCCCTGGTTGGGAACCACTGGTTATATAGGCAAACTAATAGTATTTAAAATGCAAGCAACCATATCTTATATTATATTAATATAATATAATATCTTATATTAAAGAAAATATGTCCAGATATTAATCCAAGTCCCACTTTCAGCTTTTAGTACCTTCTTGGTTAACATAGGAATAAGCCCTCACAGAGAATACCTGTGACAGTTCCTTGTGGAGAGAAAGGTAGACATAGTTTTAGAATGAACAGGGGTATCCTTGCCTATCTAATGTTCCATCTCTCAGAAAGGGACAATGTTATTCTTATAGAAGCAAGATACGAACAACACCTTGGCTTACCTTTGACACATTATTAAAGTGAATCTATTCCATTGACACTTGAGAATTTTCCCCCTAAATCATTCTACTCCAAGAAACTATAGGATTTCTGAAAAAAAAAAAGTCATTAAGAATTTAAGTTGCCTCAAGTCTAATTCTCAGGGAACATTGCTTTGAGTCAGAGCTAACTCATCACCTCGGTCATCCTCCATCACCATGAGCCAACATCTGTACATCTTCACTTCAGTTAAGTTAGGGAAGAAAGAGATGTCAATGAGAACTCTCCTTTTACAGCCCAGAGAAGGCACTTCCCTGGACTAAAAGAAAATATGTTAGAAATTTCTTTGAAATTGTGTTAATTGTATCAAGCTAGAGCCAGTATCATTTTGACCCCTCTCCATTGTATCTCTTCAGGTGACGCAGAATGATATGATAATGGCTGAAAGGCTCTTTGGAATCTTAGCACATGTCGCATCTTCCGAGTTACCCCAGTACCGTATGATTTCAATTCTGGGTGATGCCAGGTAATCTTTAATTTCTATCATTTTTATAGAATACATTCCACACACCTCTTAACTGCCACTTGTGCATCCCACAAACATTGATCCTGAATTTGTCTTGTGGCTGGCCCTCTTCAAAGGGTTGGGGTATAAAGATGAATAAGACAAAATTCTTGCTCTTATGTGGCTTATAAGCTAATAATTTAAAGATATATGTAAGTAGTTATAATGTGAATGTTTCAGATTTCACAGAGGGCTGTAGGAGTATAGGAGAGACCAACTGCACTTTGGAAGAACATAAGGGAAAGCTTCACAGAGGAGGTAACATTTTTATCTAGCTCTTCAGGAATGAGGAGGAGTTTTTCAGGTAGAGGATATAGGGGAAAGAGATCTGCAAAGGTGCAAGGAATCGTAACAAGTTTAGTATAATTGGAGCATGGGATAATTGTGAATAGTGACAGTAAATGAAGCGAGAAAGATAGTGGTTTAATTTTGAAGAGCTTTGCAGTCCTTTCCAAACAAAAATGAATACTTGTGCTTTGTAATTAAGCACAACAATCATGTGATTAGACAACATGTAACTCAATTTTAATCCTGATAGCCATTATCTATTAATAGGAGAATTCCATTCATTAATATTTATTATAACTAACATATTTATTTTTCTTTTTTCTTCCCTTCCAGGCTTTTGTTGATCTTTTGTCTTTTTAGTGGTTTAGAATCTGTACCATCTAGCCTTTCTTCCTAGTATAGCCCTTAAACTTTTAATATACACAGTGAAACATGTATTTTTCCACCAACTTTTGGTGCTAAGTAGTAGTCCCAAGGGGGGGAAAAAAAACTTAGGAAAGTTTAACTTCCTTTCCCTTAGGAATTTCTGGGATTTTTATTTTCAGGTTACTAAATTTTTCCTTATGCATTAATATTTTTGATAACTATATTTTTTAGACTTATATTTTTTATTATTATTTTAATTTTTAAAATCACTTGAGGAAAAAAAGTATTGAAGGAGGGACTGCTACAAAATGAAGAGTGAACACAAGAAATAGGAAGCATTGAATTCAAAAACTGATGGTGTGGGAATAACTAAAAATTAGAGGAAAAAATGAAACAAGATGAAACCAGAGAGGGAGACAAACCTTAAGAGACTCTTGATCTTAGGAAACAAACTGAAGGTTGCTGGAGGGGAAGCGGGTCAGCGAATGGGGTGGCTGGGTAATGGACATTGGGGAGGGTATGTCTTGTGGTGAGCGCTGGGTTATATAAGACTGATGGATCACAGACCTCTACCCCTGAAACAAATAATACATTATATGTGAGTTTAAAAAATATGCTCATAATAAAGTTTGAAAATAAAGGGATGAAAATATATAACAGGGAAATGCCAACAATAGCAACAAACAAATCTGGGAATATTAATATTAGTGATAATAGAATTGATGACCAAAAGCTACAATCTACCAAAAAATATAATTATGAAACAATGTAACTAAGCTCCTAAATACATCAAGTACAAGTATACATTGACAAATTCACAGTTATTGTGATAGATATTAATCTAATAGATCAGTAGATCAAATAAACCAAAAAAAAAAAGAATATGGAGGATTTGAATAACACAGTTAATGTACTTTATCAAATAAATGGATTTATAATTTTATTCCCAGACTCTTATTCCCAGTTCAAAAACAAATTTTATTCAAATACCTATGAAATGTTTGCAAAAATTGGACATATATTAAGCTCAAACGAAATCTCCCATGTTTCCCAAAAAACATACTCAAACAGATTACTTTCTCTAATCATATCATAAAATTAGAAAAATAATGAGCCGAAGTTTTACCCAGTTGAAATTGGAAACACAAACAGGAGAAGCAGTTTCCCAGAAAATAAAAAACAAGCGCCTTTAAACTTAAAAAAGATGTTTAGCATCAATCGAAGTCATAGACATGAAAATTTTAAAACAATGAGAAAACTTTGTGGGGAAAGACTAAAAGTTTGGTGGGATACAGCATGTTGAAACAGAATTTTTATACACTGTTAGTGGTATAAGGTTGAGGCAATTCTTAGCAATACCTAACAAATTTTAAATTTATATCCCCTTTGACTTAGTAATTTTATATCCCCTTTGACTTAGTAATTTTGCTTAAAGGAGTCTTTTTCAGATAGCAGTTTTTTACATGAGCACAAATATATGTATATGTTCAAGGATTTTCAATGCAGCCAGTGTTTATAATAGCAAAAATATAAAAGCCACTAAATTTCTAATAAAATAACTAATAAAAGACCAATGAGAGGCAACTCAAAAAATAATTAGAGGTTCTGATATGAAACAGTCTGTAAGATGTCTTAGAAAATAAAAGTGGAAGTTATAGGACAGTTGTATAGTGTACTGCAATTTACGAGATGTAGAATTCAAAGATGTCCTTGTGTAATTTTAAAATATTTGATTTAAAAAAAATGACTGTCTCTAGAAGTTGAACTGAGGACACTAGGGTTCCAAAAGTGTGTAAAAGCTTACTTTTTACTGTATGCTTATAGATAACTGCTCAAATTACCTTTTTGGGTTTTATTTCTGTTTTGGTTTTTGTTCTTTTTATTATTATTATTATTATTATCATATTCCTTTTTAAAAAAGGGATTTAAAAAAGTACTTTAACTCTTTTGGGTTGAAGAATAAATTAAAACCAAAGTTATAAATCACATATAAATGAATTTGATAATAAGGAGACACTGTGTCACAGCCTGTTGAATGTTGCTAAAACTGTACTGAGAGGAAATGATATATCTTAAATATTCTTGTTAGGAAACAGGAAAGATTAGAAATTAATGAATGAGGCTTTCAACTTAAGAAGCTAGAAAGATACCAAAGTAAAGTAAAGGAAAATGGAGGCAAGAAATTCATAAAGATAAAGCAACTTTTAAAGAAATAAGAAAGAACAATAGTTGACTAGTAAAAGCAAAAAATGACTCTTTATAAAGACCATTTTCTAAGGAAAATCCAAGAACTCAACTATTAAACTTTTTTAGAACTAATTAGAATATATAACAAGGAAACCAGACACTACATCAGCATACAAAAATAATTGGCATTTCTTCATTAAAATAATAAATTCTTGAAAATAGTGTTAGAAAAGTATCCCATTGATAGGGGCAATAAAAATGATAAAATATCAGGAAATCCACCTGACAGAAAGTAAGAAGTAAACAGTGAAATTAGGAATTTAAAAAAAAGTCTAAAAAATGGGGAGATGTACATTGTTAATGAATTTTGAGGCTTAATAAAAATGTCTATTTTAATTAAATCATGTAATTATTAAATTTCCAATCAACAATCCCAGTGTGTTCTCAGTAAACTTTATTTTTATTTTTAGTTTTTAGGTTTTTTTTGTATTTTTCTAAATTTTATTTTATTATGTTAATCACCATACATTACATCATTAGTTTTTGATGTAGTGTTCCATGATTTATTGTTTGCGTATAACACCCAGTGCTCCATTCAATACGTGCCCTCCTTAATACCCATCACCAGGCTAACCCCTTTCCCCACCCCCATTGATTTCTCAGTAAACTAAACAAGATGAATTTTGTATCTTAGGAAGGCATTCATCACCTCAAGTTTATCAAAACATTCTACTATACTTTCTAATACTTTTTAAAGTTTTGACACATTTAGCTCACAAAAATTTAGAACTTTTGTATGATAAAAGACATCATAAAGTCAAAAGACATGAGCAGACAGGGAGAATGTATTTGCAACACACTTAACAGATTTAAGAAGTCCTACAAATTTAGTTAGAAAAAGACAATCAACATGAAAGTAAAAGAAAAGGATATAAAGACTTTACAACAACAACAACAAAAGACCAATTATTATAAGAAAAGATCCAACTCACTTGTAATCAGAGAAGTAAAAATTAAAACAATGAGATTTCATTTTTGCCAATGAGATTGATTAAAAAATTTAAGAACTAATAATATTGGGGGTTTATTAGTAATCAGAGAAATATACACTCTACATTATTGGTGAAGTGTAACTTGATGCAGGCTTGTGAAGGAAGTAGTTTAGCAATATCTATCATATTTTTCAACCCAGAAGTTCTAGTACAAGGAATATAGCCTATTGAAATGCACACACCTGGGCACAAAAAACTTATGTACAGGCTGTCATTGCTTTATTGTTTGTAGTAACCCAACTTTAGAAAGTAATTAAATGCCTAACAATAGGGAAAGCCAAATAAATCGTGATACTTCTAAACTATGAATGTAGTATCTATATGATACTATGTACATTACAATCATTATAAGACAAGAAGAAAAAGGAAAGAAAAAGATTAAAGTGGTTTTTCTGTTCTGATGTGAAATGATCCAGAGACAGTTCATTAAATAAAATAAAGCGTAAAAGAGCATTTATATTATGACCTGATGTTATTTTTAAAAGCAACAAAATAAGTGTATATGTATAAATATGGAGGCATAGAAAGGGAGCTCAGAAGATGAACACCGATAGAATGTGGATGTCAGGGGTGGGGGCTGCGTAGTAAAGGGTGGTTTTCAAGTGTTACTCTGTGTATGTTTGTGCAGGTTGAAAGTTCTCATTGAGAACACACTAGACTTCTCCAATAATGGTAAGTTAGGTTGTTTTGACAATTCCTTGCACTACAAACAACCAAAAATTTGGATAAAATAAAAAATGAAAACTCCATAAAAGTACTGAAGAGGTGACAACACAAATACTAAAAAGTGATCCATCATATCTGGAAGGAAACCAAAGGAAGTTCTATAAATGAAAAATACAACAAACACAATTAAAACTTGGGACGCCCAGGTGGCTCAGTCGGTTAAGCATCTGCCTTTAGCTCAGGTCATAATCCCAGGGTCCTGGGATCGAGTCCCGCATTGGGCTCCCTGCTCAGTGGGGAGCCTGCTTCTCCCTCTGCCTGCCACTCCCCCTCCTTGTGCTCTCTCTCTCTCTCTCTCTGACAAATGAATAAATAAAAAATCTTAAAAAAAAAAACTCAATTAAAACTTAAGAGGTTTAACAGCCAATTAGACCTAGTTGAAAAGAGAATCAGTAATTTGGGAAATAGCTAGAGGGAATTTTGTCAAATGAAGCACAAAGAGAAAGGAACATATGGAAAAGCAGTTAAGAAATTTGGAGATAGAATGAGTAAAAAGGCTTAAAATATGTTTGATTGGAATTTCAAAAAGATAAATAAAGAAGGTGGGGTAGAGGTAGTATTTAAAAATAATGGCAGGGACGCCTGGGTGGCTCAGTTGGTTAAACGTCTGCCTTCGGCTCAGGTCATGATCCCAGGGTCCTGGGATCGAGCCCCACACTGGGCTCCTTGCTGAGCAGGGAGTCTGCTTCTCCCTCTGCCTGCTGCTCCCCCTGCTTGTGCTCTCTCTCTGTGTCAAACAAATAAAATAAAATCTTAAAAAAAAAATAAAGATAATGGCAAAGAATTTTTTAGAACTGATGAAATACACTAATCTACACATTAGACAAGCTCAATCAATTCCAAATATATTCAACTAAAAGAAATCTACCCAAGTCACCTCACAGTGAAATGACAGAGCACCAACTATAAAGGTAAAAAAAGTTCTAAAACAACCAGGAAAAAAGAGATTATCTTAAAGGAGTGCACATCAGCAACTGACTTCACAACAGCAGCAGTGGAAGTTAGAAGACAGGATAATACATATGTTCAGTGTACTGAAGGAAATTAATTGCCAGCAACCTAGATTTCTATATACTGTAAAAATGTCTTTTAAGAATGAAGATAAAATAAAGACACTTTAAAGCAAAGCAATAAAAAACAAAAGCTAAGGTATTTCCCACCAGTATTCCTGCACTAAAAGAAATTATAAAGCCTGTAATTAAGCAGAAGGAAAGTGATCCCAGATAGGTCTGAGGTGCAAGTAGAGCTAAATAAAGAGCAAGGAAAATACCAAATTTGTGGGATAAAGCCAAATGAATATTGACTGTATAAAGTAACAATAATTATGTGTTGTGGGTTTTAAAATACATAGAATTAACTTACACTACAATAGTGTAATGTAGGAGGAAGTAGATAAAGATACAGTGTTTTAGATCCTTGTATTATCTAGGAAGGAGCTATAGTAATTAAGATTAGATGTTAGTAAGTTAAGAGTGCATGTTCTAATTTCTATGGTAACCAAAGAATAAAGAGTGTACAGCTTCTAAACTAATGAGGAGGAGGGGGGAGAAATGGAAATGAAGAGAAAGAGAAAAGAAACATAGAACATGTGGGTCAAACTGAAAGAAAAGAAAATGTCAGATTTAACCTCAATACGATTGTATCAGCAATTCCATTTGTACCAAAAGTCGGTGGCTTAGAACAAGAGTCATTTTCTCCCCTGAGTCTGCAAGTCAGCTGGATGGCTGTGCCTTCAGCTGGGGTCCTCATGCATCTGCAGTCACCTATGGGCTGGGTAGGCAGCTCTGCTGATCTAGTCTGGGCTCTCACTTGTTCGGGAGTTGGCCAGCTATAAACTGGTCTAGGGAGGCCTTAGGACAAGTTGTCTTTGCTCCACCTGGTCTCTCATGCTCCAGAAATCTGCCTGGGCTTGTTTTCATAGGAGAGGCAGGGTTTAAAGAGAGAGAGAAAACATGCAAGGACTCCTGAGGCCTGGTCTAAGCAGGAGGTAGTCTGCTTAGCTGCAGAATCACATTGTAAAGGGCATGAATTCAAGGGAGCTCGTAATTATGACCATCAGTGTTATCAATGATAAAATACAAATGTGTTCTGGTTAAAAGCCAAAGATTGTCAGATTGAGTAAAAAACTAAAGTTCAGTTATATGTTGTTTACAAGGGACACATCTGAAACATAAAGTTACATAAAGTTTAAAAGTAAAAAAGTGAGAAAAGGTAACAACATCAATACTGGCCAAAATAAAAACAGAGTAGCCATGAGGACTAAATAGACTAAGGTTAGAAGCAATACTAGAAATAAAGAGGATCATTTCAAAATGATAATAAGTTCAGTTCATCTGAAATATTAAGATAAATTTGCTAATTTAATTTGTATGCACCTATTAGCATAGCCTTAAAAACCTATAAACCAAAAATCGACATTACTACAACTCCACCATTACAGTGGGAAGTTTTAATATACTTTTGAGTAGTTAATTAAAAAGGATATAAAATACTTAAAACAACATGATTAACAAATTTGATTTAATGGACATTCAGAGAACATTGCCCCCAATAACATGTTCTTTTTAAGCATGCATGGAAATTTATAAAAATTGATCAAATACTATCCATAAGGCAATTATCAGCAGATTTCAAAAGATTTACATAGCCCATGTTTTCTGTTCAAAATGCAATTAAGCTTTAACTCAGTTACTCAGTGTTAACCAGGAAATCTCCATATATCTGGAAATCAAAACACATTTCTAAATAACCCACAGGTTAAAGACAATTTTATAGTGGAAACTACCTTGAACTGATATATAACAAAAATACCACATTTCAAAACTTGTGGAATCAAGTTACATGATGCTAAATGAAAACATTTTAGCCTTTGAAATGCATGTATTAGGAAAGAATAAAGGTTGAAGATGAATGAGCTAAACATTTATCTAAAGTCAGGAGAAGAAAATAAAGAAGTTAGGAAGAAAACAAAATAATCCTGAAGGAAGTTAAAAGAAATAATGACATTAAAAACAGAATAACGAGGGGCACCTAGGTGGCTCAGTCAGTTGGGTATCCAACTCTTGGTTTTGGCTCAAGTCACGGGCTCAGGTTCCTGAGATTGAGCCCCACATCTGACACCACTCAGCAGGGAGTCTGCTTCAGGATTCTCTCCCCTGCCCACTCCACCTCTTCCCCTACTTAAGAGCACTCTCTCTCTCTCTCTCAAATAAATAAATAAATCTAAAAAAAAATAAAAATAAAAACAGAATTAATGAAAAATTGATTATTTGAAAAGACTAATATAGGTGATATAAAATGTACATATGCATTGCTTTGGTAATTAAAAAGTCAATAAAGAAAATGCAGGTAAAGATCTATATGTTACTCACTTTTTTCTTTATAAAAGTGAGAAAATTATACTACCTAAATATCCAAAACAAGAGCCTGATTAGGGAAATTGATTAACATCACAATTGAATTTTATTCATTCAATAAATTTTAGTGACATAGAAAAATGCTGATTACATAGCACTGAATGAAAACAAGTGTATAAAATTGGATGTAGAGTATGATCTTAACTTTTTACAAAAATTCGTAGAAAAAACCTGCAAAAAAAAATGTTGAACGTGAACAATGTTATAGATTTATATAGATTTATGAGCTATAGATTTATGGGTGATTTTTATCTATTTCTTTATACTTTTCAAAATGTGTACTCCTTAAAACTTCTAAAGTTGCTGTTTGTTTGTTTGTTTGTTTTTAAAAGATTTTATTTATTTGACCGAGAGAGACACAGTGAGAGAGGGAATATAAACAGGGGAGTGGGAGAGGGAGAAGCAGGCCTCCCGCGGAGCCGGGAGCCCGATATGGGGCTCAATCCCAGGACCCTGGGATCATGACCTGAGCCAAAGGCAGATGCTTAATGACTGAGCCACCCAAGCACCCTAAAATTGCTGTTTTATGCTTTTAAATTAGAAAAGGGAAAAGAGCTATTCTTCTTCTCTTCCTAATCTTTAGTTTGGTTTATAGTAAAGTAGTAATACCCCTTCACTTAGAGACACCCTAAGTCTGGTGGAAACCAGAAATCAACTTTCACGGGAGATGAGTTGCAGTTCTCTGTCTAGGCTTATGGGTCTGCCAGTGATGCTCTAAACACTGTTGATGTTCTTCATAATCAAATGAAGTTTCCAGTTTCATTATTTACCTCCTACTAGGATCTTGCCCCAATATGCTAACACTTGGAGGTTTTTAGGTTTTGTTTATTTTGGTTTTGCCTAAAGTTAAACCAGTATCCCATTCCATTTTCTAACTGTGAGTAATACTACTGAGCTGCATAATGGAATCACGAACTATTTGTGTGATTTATAAGAGGTAATATATGTTTTACGGAAGATAATGACTTAGAAAGTTTGGCCTAGGGTGGCTGGGTGGTTCAGTCTGTTATGCGTCTGCCTTTGGCTCAGGTCATGATCCCAGTGTCCTGGGATCAAGCCCTGCATTGGGCTCCCTGCTCTGTGGGGAGCCTGCTTCTCCCTCTGCCTGCTGTTCCCCCTGCTTGCGTGCTCTCTCTCGGTCAAATAAATAAATAAAATCTTAAAAAAAAAAATTTTGGCCTACTACCTTTAATTGGGCTGTTTTGTGCTCTGTGATTTTTAAATTTTGTATTGATTTCTTTAAGGTAGAGTTTGTTCACTTTAGAAATGGTTGAAACATGTTTATGTTGATGACTGGTAGTTGTGAAACAAAAGAATTTGGGTTGACTAGCTTAATTAGTAGAAAGATTGGGGTATTGAACTGAGTTCAAATAAATAACTCAAACTCATAAAACAGACATTCCAAAGAGCATATGGTTCCCTTGAAAGTCAACAAAAAGTAGACACATTTTAATAAATCTCATTGATAACTCTATATCTCTTGACTGTCTTTCTACAGAAAGAAGCAATTCCGGTATCTGCTAGAAACCAAAGGAAAAAAACCTGGTCTTGTCAATGAAGAAAACAACGATAGCAAAAGACTTGTAGGAGAAAACACAAACCGTGCTATGCTAAATTATACCACGAGAGACTTTTATAACGAAAGGCTAGAGGTAAAACCACCATCAGTCTCTGGATCTGGTGCCTGGATATCTCCCACCTGGCGTGGGACTTGGCAGTTATATATTTCTCCCTTTAATCATATACAAACATAACATGTTTGTGCCCTGGAAAGTTAGCCAGCCTTATGTTATGTACAGCTGGAGACAGTAGGCACCATGGCGTTAGGAAGAAGTAGAGTCCATAGTTCCAATATCTTTATTTCAGCAGAAAAAAATGTTCCAAAGAAATCTGTACCAAAAATTTAGACCAAAGTGGACCAAGGGTTCTGATATGTCTGAATTAAGACAAGAGATATGGGCTTGCTGTGAATACTTAACTGGCCCATGTTGGGTTGTGTCCTTGATGTTCTCATTCACTGCTTTCATTCTCCTACCCCATTAACTTCTGCATCCTTAATCGTGTGATGTCATTTTAACCCATTCTGTTTCCACTGTAGCTGCTTAGCCAGAAAAGCTGGAACTAATTCTTTACTTCTTTGTATTCAGAGGTTTATTGGAGGAATACAATGTTAGGGTGCCACAGGAGCTACAAAGAAGAAAAGCATGCAGTGCCTGCCTGGTGGAACACATAAGAAAGCTGAAGAAACAAATCCTCTAAATAATAATAGAATGTGAAGATTCTGCAAGAGATTTTGAGGGGACTGAAGGGCAAAAGAGCAAGACAGAGAGAGCAGGGAGCACTCACTGACTGAACATCTTTAACTGATGTGCAAGGCACCGTGAGTTATATTTATATAACTCACACAGGTTTTATATATGTATTATATATATATATATATATATATGGCAGTGAAATGGCCAAGCAAGTGGTTTTCAGATGTTTTTTAAAAGCCATGGGACTCTTTATTCAAACCATATTATAGCTGAAACCCATTATGTCAAAACAAAGCAAAAACAGCCGAGCAACTGTTGTTATTAAGGGAAAGGAGGCTTCAGAGCTTCATTTGATTGGATTGTCTATTCTTTTCCTTTCTCCTCATCTCTCCCCCAGTCCTGAAGCATCTCTTCAAAACCCATAGGGACTCTAAGGATTACAGCTTGAAAATACCTTGAAAACTCAATGCAATTGATATTTCTATAGCATCCTAGAAGATGTTCAGATTCTGCTTCAAATTCTTCTAGTACAAAAATTACTCCTTCATGAGGTAGCTGTTTATCACTGAACAGTTCCATTGGTGAAAAAATTCTTACTCATGTGGCGCTGAAATCTGCCTCCTAATAACTTTTCATTCATGACCCTAGTACCACCTTATGTAGAAAAGAGAATTCATTTCTTTCTCCTGAAAACTCTTCAAATGCTTGAAGTCAATACCTTGAAATCCTCCCTAACCCCCACATTCATGCTTTCACTCATTCAAAAATCATGTGTTAAACACCTGTCACATACATTACTTGGGCCGTAAGAAGTTACTGTCCTTACCCTCACAGGTCTCACATCCTAATGGAGGAGATAGACATATACAGGGATGGTTAGGAATCAGTATGTCAGGAGAGTATAGGAGGGTTATCTTATCCAGGTCAAGGGAGGCTTTCCAGAGAAGAAGCTTCCTAATAACGGTCTTAAATGATAAAATGGAGCTGTATGCAAAGGGAAAAGAGCAATTCTGAGGAATAGCACAGTATGAATAACAGGCACAGAAGCATAAAAAGACAAGGAGAGAGCCAGGAGCTATGAGCAGTTCACTCTTCAGAAGCACAGAGACTGAGGTAGATGGTGTTAAAAGAAGAGACTAGAAAGGTAGTAAGAGGGCTGTGTGAAAGGATGGAATTTAATCTTTGGCCAGTAGGGGCTTTCTGATGTGGCCAAAGGAGGAAAATGAAAGCCAAAACGACAGGATTGTGTCTTTGTCTTCTTGAAGCAATTCAGTTCCATGAGCCAAAAATTAATACTAATTTCAATAAAAGAAATTTAGAAAAATAGCAAAGAGCTGTATGCAAAACCAGAACAATTTCACAGAGAAATCAACCAATCTTTAAAAGAACAGACAATTCTAGTGATTTTTAAATTGTGTGAGAGTATTGCAAAAGAAGGAAACTTTTCCATTTTTTATAAGGCAGACATCATAACGTTAAATCTAAAACCTGCCAGGATTGGCACAGAAAAAGAAAAGCCAGACCAAAAACCTAAGAATATTAATGAGGCAAAAATCCTTTAAAAAAGGAGGAGGAGTATCAAGGAGACTACAGCAGAACGTTAAATGAATAACAAAATATCACAGCCAAGTGTAGTTTATTCTAGCAATGCAAGGAAGATTCCTATCAGTAGATTGGTTGATCTCAAGTGAAAAGTGGTAATTATTTCTTTAGACATTGAAAAGGCATTTCACACAATTCAACATCCATCCTTAATTTTTTAAAATCAACAAATAGGATAAACAGAAATTGAATAGGAAATGTCACACTTGATGAGGAAACTCTAGAAACATTAGCATTAATGGTAGACAGAATTCTGACTGAGATGTCCTCCATGAGTCCCACACCCTGGCATCCCTCTCTTCAGTGGCAGTAAAACATGTGACTTGCTTCTAACCAATGGAATCATGGCAAGGGTAAAAGGATTTTGCAGATATAATTAAGGCCTAATCAGTTGGCTTTGAGTTAATGGAAAGGGAGATTATCCTGGGTAAGTCTGACCAGGTCCTTTAAAAGAGGATTCAGACTACTGCTGGCCTTGAAGAAGTAAGCCACCATGTGAGAGGGTGCATGGCCAAGAACTACAAGAAGCTTCTAGGAGCTGACAGCAGCCCCCTGCTGGCAGCCAGCAAGAAAATGGGGCTTCAGTTCTACAACTGCAAGGAACTGAGTTCTGTTCAAACAACCACCTGGGTCTGGAAGAGGACCCAAGCTTCAGAAAGGAACACTGCTTGGCTGACACCTTGACTACAGCCCTGTGACATCCTGAGCAGAGCGCCCGGCTAAGCTGTGCCTGGCCTCCTGATGCTTGGAACCTGTGAGATGATAGAAATGTGTTGTCTTAAGCCACCAAGTTTGAGGTAATGTGCTGCACAGCAATAGAACCCTAGTGCATCACTGAAGTCAGCTTCAAGACAGGGGTGTCCAATATCACCATTATCATTTATTGATACAGACAATGCAAAAAGGCAAGAGAAAGAGATTAGTGGTAACTTGAAAGTTTCGGAAAGGAGTGAACTTACTACTTGCAGACAATAGTATTGAATCTCTGGAAATCCCAAGATAATTAGTTGAGAATCTATAAAAGCTATAAAAAAATTCAGTAATGGAGCAGAAATCAATAGCTTCCATGTAAGTAAATAACAACCAAAAAGAAAAGACCCAACTCACAGCAGTAACACAAAAAGATAAAACCCCTAATAATAACTAATAAATGCGCATGATTTCTGTGAAGTAAGCTTTAAAACATTAACGAAGCACACCAAAGATTTATACAAATGGAAAAACTTACCATGCTTTGGATAAGAAGGATCTAAAGCAAAACGTCAGTTTTCCTTAAGTTAATTTAAAAATTTAATATGATATCAATAAAAATGCCAAAAATTTTCATTGAGGGTTTTTTGAGACAAATTGACCCTATGGTACATGTGGGAAAATAAGCATAAAAACTCTGAAAAGGAAGAATATTGAGAATACTAGCACTACTAGGTATTAAGGTGTATTATAAAGTCGTATCAATTCAAACAGGATGGCCATAAAGAGATAGTCTAATGGGATAGAATGGAAAATTCAAGTGTACATCCAAATACAAAAGAGAACTTATTATATGATAAAGAAGTATCTCAAGTCACATGGACTATCCAATAAATGATTTAGGAATAATTAGGGAACAGAGGGGGGAAAAAAAAGCTAGATTCAGACATTATATCTTACATCACATAAATTCCAAATGGGTCAGAGATTTTAAAGTTTATAATCAAAGTATAAAGGTTTTTCAAGAAATCCAGGAAAATATATATGTGGCACTGGCATGAAAAAGACCTTCAGGGGGATAGAATAAGCAAAGACAAAAAAGAAATGAAAAGATGGTTTACAACTAATCTTCCTAAATGATAAAGAACTTTTAGAAATCAGTAAGTAAGAAAAGGGGCTGACAACCCAATACAGGCTATGTTACCTATTTAAAAATAAATTTAACGTAATATACCATTTACTGTAACAACAAATACTGTATAGGTATAAATAGCAATAAAATATGTATAAGCCCTCTATGGAGAAAATTATGTAATTTTATTGAAAAACATGGAAGAAGACTAAATAGTTCATGTTCAAGGACAGGAACGTCCTATATGGGAAAGAGTCTTCCTGAATCCATCCATAAATATAAGGCAGTTCTAATCAAAATTTGGACAGGGTTATTGTAGAATGTCACCAGCTGATCCAAAAGTTATCTGATAGAGCAAAGAACCTAAGATACGCTAGAGTAAAAGTGGGGAGAACTTGCCTCACCAGGTATCAAGTATTGTTGTAAAGCTGTAGTAATTAAGGCAGTGTAGGAATAGACAAATAGACCTGAGAACAAAAGAGAACCAGAGCTATCCCATGTATATGAAATACATATATCCCATGTATATGGGGATACAGATAGGAGATATTACCGATTAGAGCAGACAATTTAATAAATGGTACTGAGGAAATTGAATATCAAATCAGAAATACATATTGAACCCTTACTTCACACCATACAACAAAAATTAACTCCAGATCAAATGAAAACCCAAGTACGAAAAGCAAAACTTTAAAGTTTTCATTGAAAAAGTAGGTGAAAATCTTTATGACCTTGATTGAATAGACTGTGATTTTCTAACACCCGAAGGGCACAAACCAGGAGAAAAAAAATAAATTTGACAATCAAGATCATTGTTTGTTTGTTTAAAACAGGAGTCATTTCAGCGGAGTCATATAAGCAATGTCTCAAAGTGGTTTGAGCAGTAAATAAGCAATCAAAAAGTCAGGACAGGGAATGTTGACTCCTGTTTTGAGAAATGTCAAAGGGAGAAGGAATCTGAACCACGTAATATTTTAGAAAGAACACTCGGCCACTAGGAGACCTGGATCTGAGCCCCTGATTCTACCACTTATTACCTGAAAGACCTCGCCCTAGTTCCTTAATCACTCTCTTGACTTACAGTCTAGCTTTCCTTCACTTAGACCATGCTCCTCACCTCTTGAAAAATATTTAAATCACTGCAGAATAGAGTGCTCAGTCAGTCTCTTCGGTGTATACTGAGTTGTTGAGGGAATTAATTGTAGTGAGTTCCTCACAAATCAGACTAAGCAGACCCTTCCATTATACATATGACATGTATAATTATACGTATAACGTGTATAATTCTGTTGCTTGGTAGCTGCTCATCCATGCTCCTGACTCATTTTAAAAAAGATCTAAGATGGATATAGAGTCAGAGAGTTGAAAGGGACTAATGATTCCAGTCCTGTTCTTAGACAGATGAGGAAAACTGGAGACTCAGATGAACTACTCAAGATCACACGGTGAGTTACTGACCGAGCTGCCTCTAGAACTCAGACCTCCTGATTACTGACCTTGGACTCTTTCAGAGTGTATCATGCCACTTTCTGAAGTCTTCCTGACTACAAAGGGCTCTCCCTTTCCGAACACTGATTAGATTTGCTGTCTAAACATCTCATTCAGCCCTTAGTTACTGTTTAATATTTTTTAGTTAGCTTTTCATATGTGTAGGCCATCTCTCCACCTAGGCTGCACGTCCTTCAAAGACTAGATTAGAGTTTTCTCTGGGTATTAGTAGATGATGTGTAATCCTGAGCAAGTCTCTCAACTTCTGTTGACCTTCATTTCACATTTATGAGATGGAGATTATGGATTGTACCCCAGTACAAGAACCATGATAGCTAAAATCGGTCCACAACAGATCCCACCTTTGATTACTTTTTTTCCCAAACCATCTTCATGACAACAAAGTTTCAGTTCAATGAAATAATATTGTACAGAGTTCATCTCATCAGGATTGAACTTGTACAATACTTGCTTTATGAACCCCACAGGGATATTGTGGGATAGGAAAAAAATAAGTATATGAAAGCATTTGAGAATGGAAAAAGCATTATTCAAAGAGCAATAACTCCTTGACGGGTCAGGGCAAGAGAAGTATCTCTAATGTGCTTTTAACGGGATCGTTCTGGACAGGCAGAGTGAGTCGTCCTGGCAGATACCTGATGAGTTTAGAGTATGCTTCATGGAGATGGGAGTAATTGGCTTGGAGGAGAGAAGAAATAATGAAGTAAAACTGCTTTCTAACAGTTACTGAATTAAGGGTTATTATGGCAGATGCAGTTCTGTAGCAACATGTTTATAAAGATGTAATGGAAGGAGCTATAGCAAGAAATTTTAAAGCACCAAAAATTGCACTATGCCAATTACAAAAAGTTTATATTATGTAAAAATTATTTAACAAAATACATCATTTAAAAATTCTTTACATTTTCGTTATTCTTAAATTATTATAAAAATTTTCCAGTCTTACTGCCAGGACTTTCTTTTTTAAAAAACTCAATATTTTGGGGTGCCTGGGTGGCTCAATCAGGTAAGTGTCAAGACTCTTGATTTCAGCTCAGGTCATGATCTCGGGGTTGTGGGATGGAGCCCTGCATCAGGCTCGCGCTGTAAGTGGAGCCTGCTTAAGATTCTCTCTCTCCCTCTTCCTCTCCCCCCCACTTTTAAACTAAGTAAATAAATAACACAAAATTGTGTGTTAAGAAACTCAGCAATGTATAAAAGAGGCATTCACTAAATATGCTGTGTGCCTATTTGTGTAAATGTATTGCACGTTGTAAAATATTGCTCGTTGGTAGCTTTAGATTCACACTTGTCTTTCTCCCTGGTAGTCCCTGTGTAGCCCAGATTTACTGAGTGTTAAAAGGGAACAGCTCTATGCTGTTCTTATCAACAAACTAACTTAGTGCAGGTGACTAAGTCCCAGACCATATTTCAGAGTTAAAGAAAGTTAGGTTCATCAGAGTAGTAGCCAGCTGGAACCACTTGTTATTTATCGCCCATCACAATCTGTACATTTTTTTATGCGAGGTCAACTCATGACCAGCTGTTTTTAGCGCATGAACTAAATCAGGTCGGCATGTTGACCCCTGAATGGTGAGTGATTATTTAGAGAAATCTTGTATGTCATAAGAAAATTTCCAAAATATGCCTTTGTTGGGGAAAGTTAGTGACAATTGGGACTCATCATTAACTTACATTAATTAATCAAGAATCTAAAATATGTTTTGTTGTTTTAGAAATTGTAAAAATTTGGAAAAGGAAGAGAAATAGAAAAAAAGAGGAAAAAACACTCATGGTTTCACAACTCAAAGGCAATCTTAATGATACTTCAGTATATTTTCTTCCAATAATTTTCTTTATACTTTTTCTAACTTTTTTATGACAATTTCAAACATATAAGCAAAGTTGAAAGAATTTTACAGTAAATGCCCATACACCCAAACCTAGATTCTGCTATTAACTTTGTACTATAGTGTCCTTGCTTTGTCCCATATCTATACATCTATTCATCATCAATCCACCTTATATTTTTTAATTCACTTCAAAGCAATTGCAGACATTAGCATGCTTCTTCCTAAGTAATCCAACATGCGTATCGTTAATCAGAGTTCAATATTTGGTATAGTTTCTTCTTTTGGGGTAAAACTCATATACAATGATATACAAGTCTTAGGTGTATAACTGCTAAGTTTTGACGAATACATACAATGTGTACAACCCAACCTCTACCAAAATTTTATTTTGTATTTTCATTTTTCCATTTAACATTGTAATGTGTTTTCCTTGTTATTACAAGTCTTTATAAGTATAATTTTAATGACAATATCTGTTGATATTTAAATTTAACTCTTTAATTCATCTTGAAATTATTTTGGTATTTTGACTTGAGTTGGAGGTTTGAATGGATTCTTTTCCAAGAAGTTAAACCTATTGTCTCATTGACATTTATTATTTCTTTCCTCCTTCATTGATGTGAATTGCTTTCTTATAATTCTGATTGATCTATTCCATTAATTTTTCCATATATATTATGGCACTTTCCATCATCATGCCTTGATCCTCCTCACAAGTATTAATAGCCAACATAAATGTTGAATTCTTATATTGAACATTTGGTTTTGTTTCAACCTCTAGGGTGAAATGGGGGCCCAGTGCCTGAATAGCTTTAGGCCCAGAACTTCCCCTGTTGTGTTTTGGACCCAGATTTTTCATTTGTAGACTTCCAGACCCAGACGTTGAGTGAGAGCATTGTTTCTCTCAAGGCCAAGTTCTGGGTCCCAGGCTTATGTATGTTTCCTCTTCCTTCTTGTACACTTTTCCCCAACTTTGTCCAAATGGTATAGGCTAATGAATCAGTGTAGTGCCACTAGTTTTCCTAACATACAGACTGAATTCAGAGTATGGTATTTCATGTATGTGTATGGATATTAACTAACCTTATACCAACTAAGATTGTCAGTATCAGTGCCCTGATACACATACCACTTGAAGCCACGAAGCTGTGCATTCATCCGTCTTGCGTCAGCTAAACTCCCTTAACTGAGAAAGGAGAAAGTCTACCAACAGGGAAATAGTAGTTATGATCTGGGTGATTCCAGTAAAGAAACATCTGCTAGCAGAGCTGTCTAATAGAGGTAGGAGTGGACTGGGAAGTAGAGAGCTCCTTGTTGCTGTCTTCCCTCAAGCAAAGCTCTGTGTCAAGAGTGTCTAAGGAAAGTACTCCTGCTCTGAAGGGTGAAGCTCAGAACAGACACTTTCATGTTACTCTGGTTCAGCTAATTGTTCCTTTGGCTCTTGGATTAACTATGATTCAATGCAAAATTTTCTTTTTTTAACAGGAAATAAAGGAAAAAAAGAAATTCTGCAAGATGTATATGGAGGACCTTGTGAAGGAAGCCACGGAAATCAACATGAAAAACGAGGCTCTGCAGAAGCTTTGGCCGCAGATGTTCATTGAGCTTGTTAGGGACGCAGTCATAGAAATCCGCAATAAAAATTCCTACATGAAGCTTTGCCTACAGCAGATAACTGACCAAAACTAGAAATGGCTTTTAGTTACAGTTGATTTTAGCAGTTTTGTGTTTTTGAAGGTTGAAAACAAGTAGGTTAAACATGTTGAAACAACACTATCCTACAAACTAGAAAGCCTAGCATCAAAGCACTATTGCCTACTGTTCCCGTAGTTAAAGGTGAGGAAGGAAGGACAGAGAGAGGGAAGGGAGGGTTGGCTTCCTATGTAAGCTGACCAAACAACCTCTGGGAACTAAGTGGCCCTGAGAGCTCACTGGGCGTTGCCCTGGCCCCGTGACTCCAGCTCTCGCTTCGCCTGGCGCCCCTGCTCTAGCCCAAAGCACGGAGTACTTGCTCAGGTTTCAGCATGAGTTGCTTCTACCTACTTGCAGCTGGTAATTTCCACTTATTTGCCTTTTTATTTTATGTCATGATTTCAAAGCCAAAAATACTTTCTTTTTTATGAGTGAAGAATAAACTTATTAATAAATTAGTAAAAAAAAAAAAGTGTGTTTGCCTCCTTCGTCCAGTCAGAAGTATCATATTATTGTATGTTCTTCTCTAGCTGAGGGGGAGCCCTTCTCTTCACATAAGTAGGAAGAAGCTCCATTCTTCCCGGGATGCATCCTCAGGGCACCACAGGGGGTCGTGGGGTCACTGTGGACAGAAAATATGAACATGAGTACAGTGGAGGCAGGAAGAAAATGCTTTGTCTGAAGGGGCCCCAAGTGAATGTAAAATGCAGTCACAAGTCAGTAAGTCTGCTTCTCTGAAAGGTGTTTCTGTTGTTAGCTGTTCGGGGCTCTGGCTTCAGGTAGGCGTGCATACCTGTGCCTCAGAAGGATTAGGGATTCGTGGGTGAAAGGTTCTCATTTTTCTAATTCCCTTTGAAGATCAAAAAGGTAAATACGGCGCTAGCAGGGGTTTGTCCTAGTTCATGCTAGTGGGGAGGGTGTTTCGAGGCCATTAGCATAGCTGGAGATAATACAGCTTCAATAAAACAGCCTTACAGGTCGGTAACTAGGAATTCTCCAACTTGCTCAGATTTCCCCTGGCAGCTCTCAGGGTAGCAGGGCCGCCAGGAGGTGGGACAATGACAGTGGAAGTTATAGGACAACACAGTCCTACAGAAATGCTTGGAAGGAAGCTAGGCAAGCTGCTTGTGCCGCTCAGGAGCTCCCCCAGGAAGGAGTGCTCCAGTTTTCATGGTTAACATAATGTTTTGGGAGGCGACCTTTTAAGTCATACTGTCCTGGGTTTGTATCTTGGTGCTTACGCTCCCAGTTCACTAGCTTGTGAGCCATCTGAACCACGCCTGCCGCATAATACAACCTACCTTAAATAGTGTCGTGAGGAGCAAATGAGATGATGCATTTAAAGTATTGATCACAAGGCCTGGCACACAGCGAACACCAGTAAATGAAGCTATTCTTCTAGAAACAGGTTGAACCACAGAAGTGGTGCTCCTGGACAGGAAGAGCTATGAGAGTTGCTTGATGATCTTTCAGCCTTTCGAAATTAAAACATGAAGCGTCTGTCATGTGGCTGGTAAAGGGTGATTTCTCTCTGGGTTTTCTTGTTTGTTATGGAAATGAGATCCCAGCTAGAGGGTGACGTTGAGAGGAGAGACAAAGATGTCTCATTAATGGGCTTCCAGTAAATAGGAAAGGCCAGAACTTGTGATGCCTTGGGCGTGTGGAGAACTGGCTTGCTCCAGGTTTTGCAGGTGAATGGTCTGGCTGTTTAATCAGTCACCTCTCTGGCTTCCTGAACGCTGTCTCTTCTCCCCTAGCCCTCCCATCCCCGATGCTACAGGCATCTGACCCTCATATTCACATGCATTCTTGGCGTTCCCGTTATTCTGGGAATTTGAGGAACTGTGGGTCAGCACTCAGTGACCTGGCAGCAAGCCTGCAGGCACTGCTATAGCTCTACTCAGACCCAGTAACAGGGTTTCTGTCTTGTTCCTGAAACCAAGTCTTTTTATGCCCCAGCCCTAGTTACTTGGGCTCTCATCCCTTTGTACCTGAGCCCTCTCTTGCCTGACCCCACTCTCCATAGTAGATGGATTTCTACTTCTTGAATCCTTTCGACTAGTCCCAAACTCCCAATGGCTATGTTCTCCCATGTAATTCCTAACCCCTCCAACTCAGCTTCCTCCCAGTCCATTTTGCTTGCTGGAGTTCCTAGGTGAACGTAATCCCCAGATGAAAGGACAAAGGGACCTGAGTCTACTGGGTGTGGAATTGAGTGAGGGTCCTATGTTGTTAGTGGTGATTCCTAGAACAAATTGTCCTCTCTACTTGGGGTTTCCCAGGGTCTTTAGGAAAGGAGAAGAGATGCACACCCCAGAGTCTGAGACTATCTAGGTTAGTGTTGCTGAAGGATTGCTTTTTTCCAAAAGGAATCTCAAGCAGAAACAGAATATTGTGGTTGCTTCAAAAGCAGAAAGGTCCAGGGGCGCCTGGGTGGCTCAGTCGTTAAGCGTCTGCCTTCGGCTCAGGTCATGATCCCAGAGTCCTCGGATCGGGCCCCGCATCGGGCTCCCTGCTCCGCGGGAAGCCTGCTTCTCCCTCTCCCACTCCCCCTGCTTGTGTTCCCTCTCCTGCTGTGTCTCTCTCTGTCAAATAAATAAATAAAATCTTTAAAAAAAAAAAAACAGAAAGGTCCAGTATCCCGCATTTGGAGAGACACTGCTCCCCATGTTCTGGTTCAGCAGTTAAATGGTTAAATATGCTGCTAGACCTAGGGATGGTTGCTAAGTGTGCCATCGGATCTGAGGCTAGTTAACTGCAACGCTCTCTGAGGATGGTGCTGGTATCAGCCTCCCCCACTCCTAAGCTGCACTCCACTGAAGGTCTAACCCATGAGCCCGCAAAGCCTTACCCTGCTTCTAAGCTATTCCTGAGCAGGGCAGGGAATCCACTAGGATTCATGTTTTCCTCCATTGATTAATAATAATAATAATAATCATAACAACAACTAAGATTGATTAATATCTTGTATTACTAAGCTTTTTACATTATCTCATTTAATCTCCCAGTGTGAGTATATGATAGTTACGCCCATTTGAACATTTGAAAACTGAGGCACAGAGAGGCTGAATACCTCAACTAAGGTTATTTCAACCAATAAATAATAGATAGGACCCGCTTTCATATAGCCACTGTTAGTTTTAAGGATCTGGCATCTGAATAAACTAAATGCAAGAGTGAAAAGAAAGAAAGGAAAGGAAGAAAATGAGGGAGAGAGGGTGGGAGGCAGGGAGGACAAAGGAACAAGTTAAAGAAGAAGCTGGTTAGTCAGCCGGGCAAAATGCAAAACAATACAGAGAGACTGCTCAGGAAAGTACTAAGTTTAAATCTTGAAGAACAAAGGTTAGTTTTTGTAACCTGCTTTTCTCGGTCAGCTGGAGATGGGATGGGTGCTGTTGCCAAGAAGTTCAGAGCCAAGTTTGAAACTTGATCACAGCAACTGTGGTTAACCAGTATTGATGGAATATTTGTTATCTTTGATCCTGATTTTCTACTTATGTTTATGTTTTTCCGGCTCATTGTATGTGTCTTTTGTTGCAAACTACCTTGAACCATTTGTGGAAAGAGGGTAAGGATATATAACTGATCTAAAGTACACCCAAAGCTCCAAAGAATAAATGACTCCTGTAGTCCTTGGGCAATACGAGAGTTCGCAGTTTCTCTTCAGGAGACAATGAAACTATTTATCCATCCTTTACACCAGTCTCTCTTAAGCTTGATTTGGAGAGTTGACTCTTCTCTTTGTTTATCTTGAAATATTTCAACATGCACAAATGCATGTAGAGTAGTAGTATCTCAAATAAATACCCTGTATCCACCACCAATCATAACAGATATTAATATTTTTCCACACTTGCTTCAGATTTTAAAAATAAAACATTGGAGGTAAAGATGGAGCCTCTGTGTACTTTGTGCTTTCCCTAGAGGTAACCACTATTCTGAACTTGAAGCTCATTATTCATTCATGTTTTCATACCATTTGTATTTATGCATTTATGCATAGGGAGTTTATTGAGTAGGTTTTTAAATATTTTCAAATTTTATAGAAAGAGTAGCACGCAGTGTGTATTTTTCTGTGCCTTCTCTTTTCCCACTCAGTCTTCTGTTTCTGAGTAGGTCTACTCAGAAACGTAATTGGTGGGAATAATCCTACTTTTTTTTTTTTTTTTTACTGCTGTTTGATATTCAGTTTATGGCTAATATGGGGTTTATATATCCATTTTCCTATTGGTGGGTATTGAGTGATTTCTAGTTTATAACTATTACATGCAACCTTGAATATACTTGAATATATATGTTTTGAATATACATGTGAGTTTTGGGAGGTACATAATTACCAGTGGAATTTCTGGATCATAGGCACACACTCAACTGTATTAAATATTGTCAAATGGCTCTCTGAAGTGATTTATATCAGTTCACATTCCTATAGCAAAGAATACAAGTTCCAGTTGTTCCACATACACAATGACAATTAGATTTTCATATTTGCAGTCTGATGTGTTATGTGAAGGATGTGTGTACTTGAGGGTGGCCATTGTGCACATAAGAGATTGTTCAAGGGCTTCTTTAAAAGATGAAATTCATGTACAGTGAAATGCACTTAAGAGTATAATTTGATTAATTTTGAAAGTGTAATCAACATCCCAATTAAGTTACAAAACATTTTAATCATATCAGAAAAATTCCTCTAGTCAGTCCTTGCCCTTTCCCAGGAGCAACTATTTTTCCTAATTTCTTTCACCACTGATTAATTTTCTCTATTCTAGAACTTCAAAAAATGTAACAATACAGCACTTACTTTTTTGTGTTGGCTGTTTTTGAGAATGACTCATATTGTTTCATGTATCAATACATGATTGATTATTTTTTATTACCTAGCATGAAGATACCACAACGTGTTTATCCACTCTATTGGGTTGTTTCTAACTTAGGGTTATTATGAATAAAGACATTTTTTACACAAGTCGTTTTGTTCAGTGGACCTGAACATTTTAAAGGTTAACTTTATATGGAGCTGCTATACATTTTACAAAGGAGTTGTATAATTTTATACTCCCTCCAGCAATGCATAGAGAGTTCCAACTGTTCCACAGATTTGCTCGCATTTGTTATTGTAAGGCCTTTTTTTTTCATTTTTAGCTATTCTAGTGTGTCTTCTTCAGCCATCCTATTTATTTATTTTATTTTATTTTATTTTTCCTGATGTCTGCTGATGTTGATCACATTTGTGTATGCTTTTTGGTCATTTATATATCTTCTTTTGTGAAGTAAATGTTCAGGTCTGGTACCCATTTTAAAAATTTTGTGTTTGTCTCTTTATTATTGAATTATATGAGTTATTTATATGTTCTAGATATAATACTTCTGTTTTGAACTATGATAAAGTTCAGTTCATCAACTTTTTTATGGCAAGTGCTTTGTAATGTTCTTTCTGAAATGGTTTGCCTGATATTCTCAAATTTGCAGAGATATTCTCCTCTGCTTT